TTTTATCTCTCTCTTGCCTAGATTTATCGTAAGTCTCCATAACAAGATAGTCATAAAGTTGTAATTAGCTATACATTTAACAAAATTAAATTGAATCTTAGAAGAATATTTTTAAAGACAATATGGCACAATCAGTTAATTACCATATATTTAATATCTACTAGGACAGAGGTATTGGGGACATGGTATTAAAGAAGATAATTCCTGCCTTTGTACAGCTTAAGTCTAGTGAGCAAGTATTATATCGAACCAGAAATCAGGAACATGATACATTGTCAAATAAGACAGTGACTCTATCACAGATCTAGGGGAATTGGGGAGAGCTTTCATGAGAAGGTGACATTTAAGCAGAGCTTGAGTAAGAGCTAGATTGATAGGAATGGCTAGGCTCATTGTGTTGGGGCAGGTGATGAGATGGGCAAAAGCAGTGGCCAGATCATTTTGTTCGTAGACTGTGTTAATTTTTATCTTTATTCAGTGTGAAACCATTGGAAGATTTTAAGCAGGGAATTGAGATGGGAACCAGGTGGGATCCGGAAAAGGTTACTCTGACTACAGTGATTGAAATGAATTAGCGGATGATGAAAGGGGTGTGGAGAAGCTATTCTGGTAAACCACAGAGATGGCAGCGTAGATGAGAAAGCGTACCAGTAAGGTTGCGGGGAAGTATATGAAGATAAGGTTAACAGGACTCGACTGAATTAATAAATAAATCCAACAAAGTTATTGAACACCCATTTACTATTCTTATGGTAATGGGAATATAGTGACAACAAAGAACAAGGTCTCTGCCCCTATGAGGCTTATATTTTAGTCATTCTTTTGCTAGAGAGAGGAGGAAAGTCAAGAATGACTAGATTTATAGCTGGAACAGCTAGATGAGTAGAGTGGTCACTATATCAAGAAGATCTCAAGAAAGAAAATGTGTTCAGTAGTATTGAATGCTAAAAAAGAACAGTTCCAGGAGTGCATGATGGAAAATAATCAAACATGTAGAAGATCTTTGGTTATCTTTATCAGAGTAATGTAACTTGGTTGTTGCAATAGGAAGGCAGATTGCAATGAGTTAAAGATGGCACTTGGTTCATAAGTAGTTACTTCCAAGTTGTTATTACTTCCTTAAGACTGGTGATTTTTCAAAATTCTGTGTGTATGCACCTCAAAGACCACAGAGATGAGGAATGGAAATAGATGAGAGAAGAAAGCAGAACAGGCCCAGCTGTTGCCTTTTTCCTTTTTCTTTAGCTAGACAAGTTCCTAAAATTTACATAACAAGAGTCCTGGCAATGTTTTCTTTGTATGAGAAGTTCTGCTGATGTAAATTTTTAAGGTTTGAAGAAGCCACTATAAAGTTTAGGAAAGAGAATAGTATTTTGACGTTTATACTCCATTGCCTGGCATTTAATGAGTGAATAAATGTTTTACACTCAGTAAATGGGAGATGAGAGGTGTGAACAATGAGCATATAGGGTAGTCTTTCAAGTGGAGAACTTACTCTTTCTTTGAAGAGATGAGAGAAGATGGTGGCTAGCTATGAAGGAATATGGAGTTATGGCAGGAAATTAAATTAGGATTTGAGTATGTTTAGAATTTGCAAGAAATGAGCCAGTAAAGATGACAAGTTTGAAAATACAGGTGAAGTTAATAAGGGGGCATTATTTATATACATCTGACTTTAGAACTCCTTTCATACCTTTTGTAAAATTATGGTAAGACCACTCAGGAAACTGCTTCATTGTATTTTTCATCATGCTTCATCTATGGGTGAAAGTGGCAGAAATTTATGCCAAGATGAAGGAATTTGTTAGGCCACAAGCGATGCATTCACTCAGACCCTAGTACATCCAAACTCCTTGGCCACTGCTCTGACCGTCAGCCATTTTTCCCTCTCCACCTAATTGTCACTTTACTTTTCAATTTACACTGTGCACTCATATTAATCAAATTTGCTCTCACTTATTTGCTTCTGATAATATAGTCATCCCTCGGTATTCTCAAGGAATTGGTTCTAGGGCCCTCCACAGATACCAAAGTCCTTGGATGCTTAAGACATAGAACAGTTCATGTAGTCGTCCTGTCATATCCGCAGATTCCCAACCACAGAGTTCCAACCATGGATCCAAAATACTGTTTTCCATCTGCCTTTTATTGAATTCACAGATGTGAAACCTGCAGATACAGAGGGCCAACTGTACTTTTTCCTTTCTGCGTGATGCTGGGAATACAGATTGTAAATTATATGTCGTCTTCAAACTTATTACACTATTCTGTAGTTTTTTCCTTAGTGTCTTTAATACCTTTCAAATTTTAAGTCTTTATAGGTGGAAAGTATATCTTTGATTTCTGTCTACATAAATCTCTTAATAGAGTGTTTTCTATTAACTGATAGGATGCATGCTATCAGTATAGTACTCTATTTTCCTTAATATGAGACTAAAAGACATAAATATGTTAATGACCTTTCAGATCTTGTATTTGCCTCCTAATAAAGGTAATATAGAATGCTTCATTCAGATTTATCTATTTCAAAAGAAACAGCCAGATCAAACAAAAGGAATATGGTTTATATATTGTATTGATATTGTCCATAGTTATGCACTAACATGGGGATTGTTTTTCCAGTGATTTGTATAAATGTTCTTTAAAATTGTAGGCTTTGGATCATGAATAACTAGCAAGTAGAGTTATTTTGTGTCTATTTTATTATATAATGTATCTGTGCCTATTTATGTACATTAAGTGTATAAAGTGATTCTAAGATGTCACTAATTTTCAAAATTATTGAACTATTTTATGTAAATCATTTCAGGTTTTAAGGAAGTCAGTGATCGTTCAAAAGACACAGAGAGCTATGAGTATGACTTGATAGGAGTGACTGTTCACACAGGAACAGCAGATGGTGGGCACTATTATAGCTTCATCAGAGATATAGTCAATCCACATGCTTATAAAAACAATAAATGGTGAGTTTTAAATATTCTTGAGATTTTAAAAAAACTTTTCTGTTTTTAAAGTATTTATGTTTTCATGATAGTTTTCAGATCTGTTTTCTGATTTTAGTTTTCTAAAAACGTTCTATAAAGTTAGGAAAGGGGTTAGACAACATTTTTAAATGAAAACGACTTTCAAAAGATAATATGAATCACTTGTTCTTAAACTTTATGGATCTCCAGACTATTTTGAGAATTTGGTAGATGCTTTCCTGAGAAAAATGAACACACAACACACACAGTTTTGCATACAACTTTATATTCATAGACAATATTGAACCTTCCGAATCTTAGCTATGTTCACTCATTCAAGAGCTATTGTTTACTGAATGTCTTCTTATAGGGTGGCCACAAAGTCCTTATATATTCTAGTTAGAAGTTAGAAGTTAGCCCACATGCTCTACTCTCTCTCTTCACCTTTTCCCCTTTGACACACACATTTTTTAAATTATGGTTGGAAGTTATTAAATCAGTCCTTAATAACTCTTTTTTGGTCTTTAGATGTTGTTAAGAGTCTCATGTATAGAGACTGTATCTGTGCTGTGTTGGGGATACTGTTTTGAACATTTACATTGGTTAATTGATCTGTGGTTAGCAGAATAGTTTTATTCAACTATTTCTCACTCTTTAAGCCATCAGGTCCATGATAACTTTTACTTTTTTTTATCTATTTGAATATATTTCCGTAATTATATTTTGAATCATTTTTTATCATAAATTTTTAATGGCATCTTTATCTTTGGAAGATGTCTCATCTCTTAATCTTTTCTGTCCAATAACTTTACATGTTAATATTTATACAAATTTTATATATGTATTTTTTTGTGAACTCTTGTTACTTCTAGGTTATAATGGATCAATCAAATTTTAGGGTAGTCGTGACTGTTGTAAAATTATATTTCTAATTTCTAGTGGATTAGAGTTGTCAGAACAAGAGCTTAATTAGAATTTACTTAATATTAATAATAGTTTGATCAGCATTTATATCAGTATGTAATCTAAGTATTTTTTAAATAGGCATATATAGTACACATATACTTGATCAACATTATATGCTCTGTTTTAGGTATCTTTTTAATGATGCTGAGGTAAAACCTTTTGATTCTGCTCAACTTGCCTCTGAATGTTTTGGTGGAGAGATGACAGTAAGTTTTATTTAGAAATTAAAAACAAAATGGTTTGCGACTTTCAAAATGCTTTGCAGAGTCATAAAATCCCATCACAGAATCACTTAACTTTCTTTTAATCACTAGGATTAAATCTAAAATTTATTCAGCTGGTATTTATTGGAAGTTTAGTTATGTTTGGAGTATA